GAATCACATATAAAAACAAAAATGCAAAAATGAAAAGTGTCGCCATTAAAGTCAAAATAACATCTATAGTGTGGTACTCAATCCAAGACATTCTGAAAGACTGTGTTCGCAAATGAGGAGCTCCTCTATTCCTCATGACAAACTCAATCCAGAAGACAGCGCGATCAAGAGGTTTCATTGGCTGGTCGTGGTGCAGCTTGGACAGTCTCTGCATGTTCTCCTTGTAAGATGGGTTATGCAAAACCTCCTTTAATGCCTCTAGAAACACAGTTCTGTCCAAAGTTGCAATATCTACAATTTTTGCAGTTCCCTTCGCTTCCATTCTGAAGAGATTGTCAGGCTGATCAAACACTAAAGGTACACCCAAGATGGGCACCCCATGATAAATGGCTTCCTGAACTCCATTGGTTCCTCCATGTGCCACAAATACTGTAATCTGGGGATGTCCAAGGAGGTCATTCTGGGGGAGCCAGTCTACAAGTAAGGTGTTGTTACCAAGGGTCACAGGTCGAGGTCCTGTATATCTCCAAATCACTTTTTGAGGAAGCTGAGCAAAAGCTGCCGCTATGTCTTCGGTGACATCTTGTGGAAGCTGAGCAATAAGGGTGCCTAAAGACATGATGATGACTCCATGGTTCCCTGAGCTTTGTACGAACTCCTCAAGATCAGCTGGAAGTGGCTTGGCGGGTTTACATTGAAAGCCGCCCATATATACGATATTGGGCATTGTGGGTCGTGGAAACTCAAAGGTAAAGTCATTTCTCATGAGCCAGATATCTGCATCCTGGAAAAGGGAGAAATAATTAACACTGGGGCCAAAATGTTTGAGACAGAAAGAAGTAAAGATGGGGTCAGCAATGACTGCAAGCTGGAACCAGGTGAATAAGTAAGTCATAACATTTTTGACACGTTGGAGAAATGACATCTTGTCTGTTAACTCTGCTCCTGGGACAGGAACATAAGACAGAGGGGAAGGAGCAATGGCGAAATGTCCCTCTCCCTGAATGGTCCATCGAACGTTGAAAACCAGAGGAATATTCAACTTGTAAGCTAAGATTGCACCACCTCCGGCTGCTGGATCTGCTAGCACCACATCATACTGAACATCTTGGATTGATTTAATAATTTCTTTATCCTCCAACATTCTCTCCATCATCTGCATCATGTCTTCATGCATGCTTTTAAACATCATGATGATTTCGTAATCCAGTTGAAGACGGCTCCAAATGGAATGCCCTTCTCTTCTAATCTTCAAGAGACGGCCAATCAATAAACCAAAAAACTCCTCGTCAAATCCTCCTGTATTTGGAATGGTGATGGAATTGTATAAGGGAGACTCCTCCTTGATATACCAACTGTTGGAGGCTCTAAGCACTGTCACATTGTGACCTCTGCTATGCAGTTCCTCGATCAGGACCTTCATGTTGACCCAATGACTTCCATCTAGTGGAAACACCAACACTTTGCCGCTGTCTATTCCGGATAATATGCATAAAACCAACAACAAACCGAAAGGTGCTGAACGGTGCATCTTCGTTCACAACCTTTAAAAACAAAACAGAAGAAATCAGTGAATGGATAATGAAGAATTAAGGAAAACAGAAGAGAAACGACAAGGAAAAACAAAAGGCAGCCTTTTTTTAATTTGCTTTTTACATTATGTGCGCTGAGTGGTGGATGAGCCTGGTGTGGCCGTGACTCTGGCTTTTAATGTTTCCTTGTGGAGCATCAGTGAGCGTTTGAACTTTTTCTAATAGTTGCAAGTAAGTCTCTCAGTTGTCCTCAATGTGAAAAGATGGATCTCAAAACCATACAATCATTGTTGGAAAGGGTTCAAATATGCAAAAAATGCTTGAAAACCAAAGAATTTGTGTGACTTACCATAACATGCATTTTGTATGATCCCTCTTATTTTGGTAAAATAATTAACATTTTGCAGAAACTGCAAAGTGCATGTAAATTTTTTACTCATGGCATCAACCGTGTACCTTGTAAAAACCATTTAATTTAGAACAACACTTAACTACAAAGCAGTCTAATGTACATGTGTGTGGCATAGGCCACATTTACAGGAATAAAGTAAAAGGTTCTCACCTTGCACATGAGTAGTATCTGAATCGGCTTTCTATTTGTTTAGTAGTGTTACGTGCTGAGAGCTTCCTAAATATGCCAACGTTAAGCAATACCTCATTACACATGCTGTAACATCTGTAAAAAAATTTCACAGTACATGCTAAAACAATACCTTGCAATGTGTACATTCACCTCTTAGTAAAAACATCACATTCTTTTGACATTTTTGAAATCAACAATGTGTAATTTGGTTTTGAACACCGTTTTAATGAGCAAAAATCAAAATGACAAAAAATGAAGACCTAATTGCTGGCTACTTTAACAGCTGGTTTATACAATTTTCACTTATAATGGAAAAAGTTCTGTAAAGTTGAATTTAGTTTAACAAAGTAAAAAATAAATAATATAGAAGCAATAAATATTACATAATGAATGAAGCAGAATTTAAATCTGAAATCTGATCTATAGACCGATGACGAATTCTATTTTCATAGAATTCTATTTTGATAATATTTCAAACCTCACCTGACAAGCTGCAACTACTCCTCAAAATTTACCTCTGCACAGTGTAGCATCCAAAACCTTCAACAGATTTATCGTGCAACGTTTACAAGCTTTTCAAATGCATTTAGGTGAAAGGTTCCTTTGAATGAGTGAGCACAGCAAAAGCCTATCAGGTTCCTTTAGGCAGGCTAGTTAAATAATGCCATGATAATAGCAGTCAAAGATCTTTGGACCCTGTTTTGAAACTATGATTTTTCTATAACCAGCCAAAAATGAGGGAATTATAGGAATTTCTTATATTTTACTTTTAATTAAATTTTAAAAAGGGAGATTCTTGAATTTTGCGCTACACACGCTAGATGTCAACATGATATCCAAGATTAAATGTCTGGATTTGTAAAGACTGAAGATCATGCTACACTCCCACCATTAAGAGCATTCCAGGGGAGAAGTGAACTAAACGGGTTATTGTTCGAGTCAGTTATGTAACAGGCAGAAAGAACGAAAGGAAATCTGAGCTAAGATTGATTCTTCTTGTTTAACACAATGTATAAGTAATAAACTCTGTTTATGAAGATTTTTATGAAGTGTTAGATCACCAGGTGGAAAAAAACTGACACTATGGCCAAAAAGTTCATTAGTGCCTATAAAACTCAATAAAACACTAAATTCCACAAATAGCAGTGCATGTTCTGTTCTGCTTGTAAAAGGATATTGCATAATATTAGTGTCATGTGCTTTAAATGTACATTGTCTTACTCGAGTTAAAACAAGACCTACGCACAAGGAATTTAACTTTAAGGTTTCCATGACATTTTGTCAACCCAGTTTTTGCAAACATAAATAAAAACAACAATGAATAATTTTAATGCATTCTTTATATTGTGCAACAACGCAGGTGCATTACTAAATTAATTTTTGGACAACTACCCATTCTCATTTATCTTTTATTTATCATTATCATCTCATGCAACTTTTATTTATCTTAATGCTCAGTTATACAGTAAATGGATGTATTAATTTTCTAGTCGTGGATTTGAATACCAGTGCCAATGGTCCATCGCCAATGACTTTAGCTTAAGCATTACAGTGACCATAAGCAAACAAATTATTAATTGCAATACAAAACAATAAAATGAAATAATAAAGTTTGTATTGTACTGCAACTTATAATAGGCCTAGAGCATGCAAACTTTTGGTCTCATTGTTAAAGGTAGAGTAAGTGATTTCTGGTAGCCAATGTTGATATTTGAAATCACCAAAACAAACACGCCCCTACCCCAAAAGGGTCTTGTCCCTATTTTGATTGCTCCGCCCCACATATACATACGCAATCCAGGCAACGATTAGTTCTGTGAAACAAAGCAAAACCCATGTTACACCGTGTCTACATCGGACGTGAGCGGCGCGGCGCAACAAATCCTGACAGAAAACTGCTGCCGGGTTCTATTTATGACGTGCTGACACAAATTTCAAATGGTTTTCAACGGTCGTTTGATCGCGTCCAGTGTAGGCAGACTTTAGCTGTTGTAGACACGGTGTTACTCACCTATTGAGAAGAAACAAAGCAACCTCGGCGTCCGATCGCAGGCCTCCGTTCCTTGAGTTCTCTCCAGCGCTGGAAAGCTGATCCGATATTTACACGGGTCCTACTTCGTGCCTTATCATTCCGCAGACGTTTTCCTCTTGTTTTCTAAAGTTTTTGAAAATCACATACCCTACCTTTAATTAGAGAGAAGGAACTGCAAGCACACAAAAATGGCAAACAGCTACCTCATGTGGTAAGGAAGAATTATAATTCAATTCATATAATCTTCCATTTTGACAAACTTTAACTACGATTAAAACTAAGGAAGTTGCAACCTGCAATTTTAACTTCTTACATTTTCATTTATAGCTCAAAATACTACAAATATACCTGGCATCCTATGATTTAAAAAAACGTGCCAACAGCAATAGTGCCATAAATAGATTTACACTGTCAAAGGCTGGATGATATTTAAAGACATCGAGTGTTAAAATGATCAGTTACTAGCTCCATGCAATTGTAATTCTTATAATCGCAAATATGTGCACAGATCAAATATCACAGCTGTATAACTTTTAGTAGAACTTAATTCTTACTAACAGTACCAAATCTGGTAGCAGTCAGGTATCTCAAAATACTACAAATATACCTGGCATCCTATGATTTAAAAAAACGTGCCAACAGCAATAGTGCCATAAATAGATTTACACAGTCAAAGGCTGGATGATATTTAAAGACATCAAGAGTGTTAAAATGATCAGTTACTAGCTCCATGCAATTGTAATTCTTATAATCGCAAATATGTGCACAGATCAAATATCACAGCTGTATAACTTTTAGTAGAACTTAATTCTTACTAACAGTACCAAACCTGGTAGCAGTCAGGTATTAGCAAGCTTGAGGAAACTGAGTGGAATTCATCCTTAGTTGGAAAAACGAGATCTTAGTTAGAGTTGTATAAACGCCCCTTCCTCTCGTCCTCGCTGTTATTGTTAACATTAGGGTTGCTTAGGAAGCTTACACATATAATTGTGGCAAGTAACGATTCTTCAACGACATCAGCATTAAATGTACCATTACATGTTATCTCAGAATGCATGAGGGAAAAAAAAAAGTCTCTATAGATACAAGAGCAGTGGCACATTGTCTCTAGTTGCATCCATATCCTGTTTTAAGTTCAGTAAACCACCATTTAAAGTCCATGGCCATAAGAACGTCCTTTAAAAGCAGACAGAGAGGATCAGATCCAGCATCTTCATTGAGCATCTCCATCTATGTAATAATCCTGAACAGAGCCAAGCTCCAGTAAAAGTGAAAAAGGAAAAAGAAAAAAAACATCTTTCTCTGATCAGACCATTTTGAAACGCCATGTTGAATGCCTTATTAGTACCAAGGTTCTGAACGTCCCATCAGTATAGAAGACAAAAGATGAGAGAGAGAAAGAGAGCATGAGAAACAGACAGAAATCCAGACGTCATGGGATCTGGTCAAAGAGTCCAGCCTTGCAGAAGATAAAGGACGGTGCAAATTTCTGAGCATTCCAGACAGCGAGAGGGCAAACGTTTCCCCAATGGCTTCCACTTACAGGAGGGGCATCATACTCAAGCTGAAGAGGTGAAAACATTAGTAAAATAAAGCAAAGTTTTGACCAGATATCCCATGTTTGCAGTGTTTAAGTGGATCAATGATTTTCCTAGCCATCTTCTTTAGGAGGTGTGTACCAGCCTAGAGGAAAAACATCAGAAACAAAACATCTGAGAACAGTTCAAAGTGCATCAATTCTGCATCTCGTTTTACGGTTTCTCCACCTACCGTTCTTTTCATGAATCTGAACCAATGATTTGTATGACTGTTGTGCTCTGGCAAGATTGTATTGATTCTGTAGAAAACAAAAGGGAAATGGTCAACATTTCTGCAAGCAATTATTATAATTTTTTTTGTTTGTGAGGAGGCCGGACAAACCTTATTTGCTCCGAACTGCACTCTGGCTTTCCCTTTGACTAAGGTGGCGTTGATTTGCATGATGACTGACTCTATTGAGTAGGCACTGCTCCAGCCCTATGAGATCAGATTTATTTCTGTATTTCTGATTTAGTTTATTTCAATGTGCAAACCTTACAGAATTCAGAGGATTCAAACCTGTTTTGTAAGTAGCTCCATACACAAGGCTCCTCCACCAAGAACATAGCTAGATGAGAGAAAAAAAACACACACACACATACATACACACATATATATATATATATACACACATATACATATATATATATATTATTTAGCAGGGTACAGCAAATTACCATTTATTTCACTTCAGATTAGGATTATGAAAATTAACATTATTTGTATTAAATCGGGCGCACACTGTCCGATTTATAATAGTCCTTTACGATTGTTACGTGTCAGACTGTACAAACATGATGATCATGTCACACTGTGGGATCTCAGTTGTCATTAACGTCAGACTGTACGACAGTCAAGATGCATTAAAAAAACGGATGCGCGTAAGAAAACTTGTCTGGAATTTTACATTATCAAATCATACACATTCAGTGACTTTGCATTACACATGGGGCTGAAATGTTGGCTATCAAGAAAAGCCTATGAATGGCGGCAATACCAGCATATTTAAGAAGATAGTGTAAGCAGCACTACACACCCACATGAAAACAGCGGCACAACTGGTGTTCATCAGAGCAAAGGCTACATTACATACTGTAGAAACTTTGTGAGCGGCGGACGGGAGCACCAGCGTTGATGGTGGTTAGAAGAAATTTCTAGCTTTAAATCTGAACATGGCTTGAAAAACTAAGACAGTTTGACGTAGGAGAAGTCACACTGCAGGACTGTGGGGCAAATCTTCTGACACGGCCAGAATTTTGTCGGAGGTCAAATTTGATCGAAAGTAAATCGTAATTAATCTGCTATCGGTAAACATGCCAAACTAACGATAAAAGACTACATATTTTAGCCTAGGATTAGAGGAATCTTTTAGGATTTGCGAAATGCATCTCAGATGGCCAAATCGAGGCCAGAATCGTAGTGTGTGTGTCCAGCTTAAGTCATATTATAAACTAAAAATATTTTTTATTAATTATTTTCACAAATATATGGGGTATTAAAAAGAATGCTAAATAATAAAATGTAGGTGAATTACATTAGCAGCCCTCATTCTCCGTTAAGTTACAATTACATGCTAGATTAATTCATGCAAAAAAAACTTTAAAGACAGCATTATATACAATACATCTGTTAATGTTATTCTTGGGGGAAAGAATATAATCATCCATCAAATGTAATAAATTCTTTACTTTTAACATCTTTTAATAGCATAGAAAGGCTAGTCTGACTTATTTACTAGGTAAAAGTGCTCATGCTCACCCTCCAGACAGAACAGGAGACACAACCCGTACAAAGGGAGGATCAAAAGGAAAGTTATCCTGCCATCAGCAAGCAAGAAAACAGCAATTCAGTTGCATAATCTCTCCTTTCAAATCAAATTATCTTCAATCAGTATTTTTGTAAAACAAAGAAAAAACCCCACTAACTTTATAAGAGAAATTGAGGAGAATGTAGTCCATGCCTTCTTTTTCCTTCAAAACCTGCAAGTCGCTGTGTAACGGACTGTCTGGGTCAACCCTTAAAAAACATCAGAATGATTTTACACAGTAAAGACATAAACACTAAAATCATCATCAGCCCACATGGTATTTTATGTTATGCAACCATACTTACGTCCTTAACTTGACATGCCACTCGTACAGGCTATCATTGACTAACTCCACTGAATAGATACCTGGAACAGACAGAATGGTAAACAAACTTATCAGACAGATCTGTAACAGTCCTGGAACAAGACAAAACTAATGAAAACAGAGATGTGTTCCAAAACCATGTTGAGGCATCACAGGCGCACTCCTGACATAAAAGTAGCAGTTGCAAAAGGTAGGCAATGTAATGCCCTGATATACTTCAAGTGAATCCAAAGAACAAACTGGTGTGATGTCATTTCCAACAAAATCAGGCCAAACGAAGTTCGTTTGGAGTTCAAAACCAAAGCGAACTTTCCAGAGAAGTTTGTTCCAGCTGGTAAACACCTTCAAACTACCATTGGTTCACGGCGACTGCCTAATAGGTTGGTGTGCTCAGGGGCTCCGCCTTATTTGCTAAAAAAAAATCTTCTATGGCTTATTTCTTCTGTTCCGTCCATCAAGGTCAAACTAGAGTAAAAACATGAACACTCTGGACAGCAACTTTATAGTACAATTTCAAATTGTAATTGAAAGCGACACTGTTTTTTCCATGTTTAATACCGAAAAGCTGTACTGGAAAAAAACTGGCCAAAGGAACTGCCATAACTGTGAAGATGCTTCCTTAGAAGGCAGCAGCCTATGTAGACAGTAGGAAACTCATTCGGTTCGGAACAGAAGAATGGAAATGTCAATGCTGTATTGCACAACTAAAGTTACCTGTCTTATAACTCGGTGATCTATAGATCTCCCTGAGTTCCTTCATGAGGCGGTCAGAGGCCTGAACTGAACCAGACACCGCACCCTACAAGACCAACAATGAAGCATTTAGGGAACATATACAGCACTGCAAGAAACAAACTTTCAAATTATTCTTGTGGATAAATTACAGGCTTCACAAATAGAAAAAAAGCTGACCCTACTTGCAAATAAAACATTTGCTTTATTGCATTGTATTACACATCATAAAGAGAGGATACTGCTATACTGCATAATTAAAAACAATATCGCTCCACCCAACCCCAAAATTGTATAAAAAAAGTTACCTTACCGAATGGACACTTACGTTCAAGTGGTCCTGCCTCTGGTTCTTGCGGATTTTCTCCAGAATGGCCAGATTCTCCTTTTCAATGCCATCATCCTCTGACTTTTTCCCATCAACCGGTTCCTCCTCTTTCATGTCATAGTGGTCTAGATCTTCAATATCCTGCTGCCACAGCAACAAACAAAAGAAAGTGTTAGGTATCAACTAGTCCTCGTCAAAACTGGAGTCATGAGGAACCCATCACATTCCCTATAGCTTAATACCTCTGGCATTTCCTCTTCCTCCTCTTCTTCTGATGTCACTTCATCTGTTGTTCCATGCTGGGAAGAACAAGGACAAAAAGTCTGCATCAGCTCACACGCCTTTTAAAAAAAAAAAGAAAAGAAAGGGAAAAGGAAGGAGTGTAATAAGACTATGTAGGTCTGTGCTGATTTGGTCTACCTTCTTGTCTTGACTGATGGGTCCAGCAGGAAGAGGCTGATCCAACATCTCCACATCAGGATGCTGGGGCAGGTTATAGAGTCGGCATAAATCACAGATCAGCCTTTTCAGCTGCTGTAGGAGCTGCATAAGATGAAAATGTGGTAACAAATGCTTAGTAACTCTATTAGACAACAGTGGGTAAAAAGTTGGCCAATAAAGTATTATAAAAGAGCTAATCTACTATCAAGCATTGGGTTGCACAGAAAAGAACGTGAAAAAGTGTGTTCAGAAGATTAAAAAAAAGCATCATACTGACCAAAATTTGGATTTAGGGTTCATTATGGATTAGGCTACATGATTACGAATACCAAATAAAACTGCCCATGGGGCCGTTGAATGCTTGAATCTGATTGGCTGACGAATGTTCTAAAGTGTGCAATTATTTTCAGGGAAACGCACAGCGAACGTAGTTCCAA